CTACGTGATGAAACCCCATCTGTTTCCCGTAACAGGGAAGTAGTGCTATGAACCGAGAGGAATGATTCACCCTGCTGTCGTCCCGAGTTTCCACTGGACAGAAATGCTTAAATGTCCAGGTGATGACACCGATAGGAGAGTGCCCCAAGCCTCTGACATATGCATCATACAGACTGAAAAACAACTCGCAGAAGAAATCTCCACAAGCACTGCAAAGGAAAGTATCTGAAAATATCTGAAGTAAAAATGTCACTGATAACCGCGGCGTGCATATTTTAGCCAACTGCACAGGGGGATTGATTCAGACTAATACAATCTAAAGCACTTCATAAACTGCTAACTAGACATTGAGGGCAGAAGCTGACAAACACAAAAACTTCAGAATATATAATGAGTCTTGCATGTGGAACAAACTCAAAACGATTTTTTTTTTAATGAATTAGGCCATCTTCCTGTTTTAAAACTAATCGTGCGCCACTCGCCAGTTGGCGTTTTTGGGCAGAGAGGAGGCAGGACAGTTGGCAGTCAGTATGGGCTGGTATGAATTCTCACTTCCATGAGGCTTTTTGTGATCCCAGACAGCAGACAGTGTCATCATCATGTCTCTCGCCCATCTGTCTCCATCTCCACTAGTCATCACCCACTGAGTCTGATGAGCTGAGGTTTTCTGACAGCATTTATGGCACAAGCCGGAGTGACACCAAGTCACGCTGCCAATAGTAAGAGAGCATCTTACTCTAGAGAACGCAAAGCAATGGATAATCAGCTACTGCAATTCATGAGACTCCTGGGCAGGAAATTAATTAACTTATTTTTTCATCCAGCGACCAAAGTAGTGGGCAGAATTGGACAACGTACACACAACTTCCAGCGCTGCCAGATACAAACACTTTAAATTGTTAGCCGAGTGCTAGAAATCCTGCTAGAAAACATTAAACAAGTAAAACTTACAGGTACTCACGCGACTTTCCTTTCAGCCACATAATCACAGAAAAAGTGGCAATCCATGCACCTTGGACTTCAAACACTAAACTAACTCAGTGCTAGAAACTGCTACACAACACACAGCTAATGGATCCGAGGCTATTTATCTACCTACTAAAAACACAACTGCAGTGCTCTGGAGCCAGCCTCAGACACATCTAAAAAGCAAAGGTCAATGTAACCAACTAATGCACACTGACCTAAATGACATCAGCGTGATGACAGCACACAGCTATCCTTTTCTGACACTACTGTGCCTTTCTGCATGGCCAGTGATCTGGCAAGCAAGACTGCCTCTGCCTCTGACTGTACCAGAGGGAGGACAAGAACAGATACAGCCTCTGAATCATATCACACAAAAGGAGGAGAGACACGCTGCCAGTGCCCACGAGAAATGTGGGCTCCTTAAATAGAATCAGAACAAAACAACCACGTAGGTGTCTCAAGATCCACCCACCCAGACTCCATGCCACTTGTCTGGCTCTGCAAGAAAAGCTTTACTGCAAAAATCAAGGTACGATCAAGATGGACAAAGAAAGCAAAATGCCACTTGAGCAGGTAGTAAACATAGAGTGGATTACAAAATTAAGCCATCCAGATGGTATGATCCAAATCAATGAATCCACAAATAGATCAAACACTAAAGTCAGGAAAAAGGTAAAGCAACCTGAAGGTCATGCAGGTACTAATCCTCCTGCTTGAGTGAAATGTCACTTGTGTCAGCTCATACAAAGTCCTACCTACAACTGCAGTCACCGACTGCAATATTGCAATAACAACGCCCTTGACCACACAACAAGGCTGCGGACACAAGGTCACACTATAAATTACTTGCCGAAAATAATTACAAATGCACACAGACTGTCACACATTGATTGGTGCCATTTTGCGACCACAAGGTCTGGACACCGCTCAGTTCTGGCAGCGAGCAGTGTAAACGAGACGAGTCGTAGAGTAAAACGCTGACGTTATGCCTTACAACTTGGGCAAAACCACTCCACAGACAGCTCATAACTTGAGCAGCCACACGCTAATGTATTTTGCGCCCGTCGAGGACTTTTTGGTCATTAAGACATTTTTAAAACACGGACTAAACTGAACTGCACGGCGTGTGTAAACGTGTGACCGGTGTGACTAATCAAATAACTATGATTGCACCCATTATTTACTTTGTACATTAACGTAGGGGAACAACAAAGCAAAGCTTTAATACAAGTACAAACCTAATACGACAGCAAAGCGGACCAAATTCCTCGGCTAAATACGCTACTACAGCTTCAGGCTCACCGGCCACACAAAGGGGCACACAACACAACAAGGAGTTGGGCTTTCGGTGCAAACTACACAGAGCAGCTGTTAGCACGATTACGACTGCTTTAGCGTTTACTCCCACGTAACAGAGAAGTTTAAATGTGCTTGTTGGCGAGCGACGTTAGCTAACGCCGAGCTGGAGGCTAAAAGGCAGCCGGGAGGCCATTTAAACAAAGTAGGTAACATTACAGCTGGCTAGCTGTGCCAGAGAGCTAGATAGCAACGTAGTCACCACCTCGCTTACCTCGAGCCAAAACCGCCGGGTAAAGTCTGCGTTGTCTCCTTAAAACATCGACATTTCTATAGGTAAACGCTATGGTGGATGTGCGGAACTTCTCACTTAAACGGGAGAGACCACAGAGGTTTGGTTTCGGGTTGTTTAGCCTCTGTTACTGCAATGAGCAATTAAGGAAAAGCCTCCGCTCTTCGCTGATCGCATCTTTCCACAGCGACAGCACCACCTGACAACGGAAATGACGCACACACTTATTTGATTGACGGCGGCGATCGACCAATGCCAGCAGCGATTTCCTAGTAAATGGTTGCACACTGATGATGAAATTCTTTGCATAATAAAAGTTGCTAAATGAAGCACATTACATCATGCTTGTCTGTAAGGGTGAAGTTTATTGCATTTAAAATAAGTTCGATGCATTGTAAGAAACACACCGCTTACAAATGGCAGTGTTTAAATGCAATATCACAGGTTGTTATTGTCTCGTGCACATACAAAGCCATGTGAATAATACACTAAAAATACCTTTGCAGGGGTGAAACATTTGTCAGTCAGAGCATAACTTCTGCTTCATTATCCACTTTATCACTGTACTGCAAACAAAAAGTTTTATTCTTTCCAGCCTCTGAAAACACAATCCAACCAGAGGGAATGATCACAAACTAAGCCTATTAAATACCATATAATCTACAACAAAAAATAGCTGGAGTAGAATTCAACCTAAGTCACACAACAGCCCTTTTTTCTTTATTTCTTTATTATTATATCTGTAAGTGATCTGCCTTTTCACAGTATTGTAGCTGAATCTACATATAGAGATCTTCAAAGGCTCTCCGCTGCAGATGCTTTTTAGATTTATATTGCACTTAATTTAGGCTAACCATATGACTCAGTGAAACCGTTCATCACAGAATTCAGTCAGTATATCATCTGATAAACCAAAACATTTCTACAATATTTTACACTCACTGTCTGCTGACAAAGTTTCTGGATGAGTGCTGCCTGTGTGTTGAAATTTGCAGTTTGGCAAGAGTGCAATTTCATTTAACAGACAACCAGCAATATAACTCAGTGAACAGTCAACTTCTTACGCATTTACTCAGCAAACAAAGTGCTGTGTGACAGTGACATTTAGGAGAACCCACCTATGCTCCCAATTTTAACTCACTGATTAGACATTAATTCAACCCACAGCTACCAGTTTCAAACCAGTGGGCAGATGTGACAGACACAGAGAGGGCAGCCGAAATGGCAGCGTCTCATTTGAGTTGCACAAGTCTTCCTGTCTTGACTCAGCAATGCATAGGCCCCCAGCCACATGAAACACACGTCAGCTTGCGGCTTTACAGTGTCCTGCCCACAGCCTTTAAAGAGGAAACTGAATCATAACTCAAATGCAGGGTCCGTGTGAGAAACATGTTTTAGGGGTTCTTTCAGCATGGTATGGAAAAGATTCAGTGGACTTTTAAATCCATATTTTAGTAAAATACTATGTGCCCCAAGGGAACCACAAACCTTTATCATGGTATATATTTATTTATACATATATCTAAAAAATAAAAAATAAAAAAAATCTTAATTGCTATTTATTATACTGGCAAATAACTTCTGTGATGTTTGCAAATACGCTGCTGAAAAGGGGATTAATGTGTCATTAGATGCACAATAAAGTTTTCCGAGCTGCATGGTGAAAAATTGCTTTCTAGCAAGCTCTGTTGATTCCAATGAAGATTCTTGCAGGATGACTGGCAAGAGCTCTGGTTTCTGTTTGTTTTGCAAGTAGGCTGTATCCTCAGGGCACATCGTGTTTCTTGTCTCTATTTTGCCAAGATTATTGGGAAGACCTCACCAGAATCCTCCACCCCCAGATCAATTGAGAGAAATGTCTCAGCATGTTTTGCCTACATGGTATGCACTGTGTTCGTGTGTGTGTGTGTGTGTGTGTGTGTGAGTGTATGGCTGACTGGGGGAGTGCAGACTATCACAGCCTCACTTTGTCTCGTCTGCAGGCAGACTGCACACACGTATTATGCGTACTACAGGTTGCTGTTGCTATAGCAATTCTCATTGTAGGTCACTGCTGGAGGAGGGTAATCATATTGTGGATGATACTGAAGCATATTGCTTTTATTGTTCTGGGTTGGTGGGTAAACCAAACCAGAACAATCTACGTATACATAAATCTGACTGTTCTTTCTTTTTCATTTTAAAATTCAGTGAGCACTGCACTTCTCAGGATGGCGAATTAGTAAAGAAAAACTACATAAAGGCACAATATTGGTACAATAACATCCATGGGAGCAGTGTGGCTTTCAGTTTGGGAACACCACAGACAGTACACTGTGTTTATAAAGGACAGATGTCGCCCCCTACTGCTGTACCTTATTAACTACAACACACTGTTACAAGGTTCGTGTCATTATTAACACTGTGTTGCATCAGTAACAAAGCAGATGATACGGTTCATGCATTAATCTGTGTAAAAACATGTTTTATTTTTTCATCTATTTATTAAAAATACTACGTTAAACATTCAACAATTTAACAAATGCAGCAGTGTGCACTCGTCTATACACAGAAAATAATACATTCAATAAATATAGTAGTGCCATAAACATATTTACAGATTAGACAATTACTTATATTGCATTACTTTATATTTAACAATGTACTCACCAAAGAGCACATTTCTGGGCCTTTTCTCAACATTCACTGACATCACATGGAAGAGAAATATGTCGTATAAGTTGCTCCCCATATTCTTTTAAGGTAAACCAGTACGGTGTTAAATAAACATTTCTTACCAAAATACATTTTGAGGGAATTTAAATCGAAGCAGAAAGAGCACTTGGGTTCCTTCAACTCTCCCACAGTATCATTACAGAATACAGAGGAGGTCAACAAACTTCCTCTGCCCATGGTGTAGAGATAGGACATCCTTGGGATGGAAAGGTGGTAAAACAAACTGCCATGAAATGATGGACTACGAGCCTCAAAGCCAACTAAAAGCTGTGATGTAATTGTACACATGACTGATAGGATTTAATGACACTGTGGGAAAGTAAATTTAAGGAATGTGTATCTTACATATACTGAATTCCAAAATGCGACATCTTGACATTATATAAACAGATGTTTTGCTATTATCACACCGACATGTTCGTTACACTGATATAGGCCTACTGTATACCTTGTTGCACTGAAATCTCCTCTCAGTTTACAGCAAACATACTATGACAGCATATTCCAGCTTAAAGCTCATCTCGCCGCACATACTTGTTTGTTCAATGCAAATACGCAGCTGGTTTGTCTGACAACCAATGGAAACACTTGCTCACATCTGCATTTCAACGCCACCCCAGAAAGGTTTTGTGGCTGCATGTGGGGGTTTCTGCAGTGGATTCACAGGTATAGACAGCCGATTGGTTCTCAGTAGTGCAGACCTTGGATGATGCATTGTGCGCATTGTGCCCCGCTCCCTGGGTCTGTCTGCCAGCGTGACCATATCACAGACCGTCCATCATGGCTAGAAGGTCGTCTCCTTTGCTGCTGGCACTCGGAGACTGATCTCCAGACTCTGTAAATTCTCCCATGATCTTGGCCAGTTCTGCATTGGCCTGCTGATCCTGAAAGACAGTGGTATCCACCAATCACAGTGTTTGAGTGGTCATGACAGGGACTTATACCTCATCACAGTAAATCCTGTTAGACTGGCAAAGCCTCACGTCCCTCATCACTGACTGTATAACTTTAAGGCCATGACTGCCAAAGACAACATTTCGCTCTTAGGTCATTCGTGATGTTTGTTTATCAGGGCTAAAACAGAATGGACCAGTTGCAAAACTGAGATGTCAGAGATCGTGTAGACTACTATTATTTTATTATCCCATATTAAGTAAGACTAGAGATGAAAGACCTATAGTAGTCACAAAATCAGTGTGCATGGTCACAAGTCTAATAGTTCAAATGTTTCAAAGATGGGTCCGGACCACACTGTGAGCTGTTTCAGATCCTAGATTAATTTTGTACCATGTTGGATTTTATTGTAGCTGTAATTGGGCTACCTTGGGGGTAGGGGTAAAATGGGAGGAGAGCAGATCAGACAGTGGGAGGGGGAATCAGAGAGCCCAAAACAAAGCAAGCACCATAGCTACGAACCAGAGTGGCCTTTTATCAGTACATCTTGTATTAGACGAGTTGTGCAGTTTCTGCAGTGATAACAGGAACAAAACTGTCCTGTGGTTGAGCAAACCAGTAACTCTGAGATGTTGAAAGTCAAGTCACTTTTTTTATATGACAACAGAAATTGAAGTGTTTTCCATTTAAGACAAAAGATTAACAACATAAATAAATCTTGCATTCTGCACTTGCCCAAAGATGACAAACGGTCACACATTTTTATTAATAAATGTCCTGTCAGATGTATTGCAGCATTATTAAACAAATACTGGACAAGTAATGGCTTTCTTCAAAAAGAATTTGCAAGGAAAGACAACTAAGCTTTACCTTTGTTGCTTGGATGTTTATGACTCCATATGAAAGCTCATCAGGTCTTGATATTAATGCCTCTCTGCGATAAAGGAGAGTCACAGTGTTAGTACTGGTCATCTCCAAGCTAAACAGTAAAGTTTCACAAAGATAATATTAGCAGTTGCATTTGAGTAAGTACTGTACATCACATATAAGGGTACTCACTCTTCTTCTTCATCTGTGGCAAAGAGATTAACTCGGAAGCCACTGTCTGTGTTTCCTGGTTTCTGAACTTCCAATCCTCCCATTAACCTGGCCAACAGATTCAGCTCCTCTTTGGCCAGAGGGTTGGGAGCAGTATTGACCTGTTGACACACAGCAGCTTGTTCACTTCAGCATATTTACACTGAACCTGTTGTTTGCAAGATCATCCACCTGATGATGACGTTGCAACAGGAAGTAAAGTTTACTTCTGCAACGGGGTGAGCACACCATATTTGTAAGCACGTTATGTGCTGTTAAAACCTGTCAGAACCAGTTTTCAAAGTTACATTTGTGTGCATAAAGTTCACAGTTTTTTTGTTTGTTTCACCTTTGTGTGCTGAGCAGAATTTTTGGATGTGCCAGACATGTGAGTCTCCACTGGGCGGCTTACGCTGTACCTGAGTAACAGGATTAAAAAGAGAAAATGAGGACATATCCATGTAACACGGTGTCAAAGAATGACTTGCACATGCTTTATTTAAAGTGCAGAACTGGCTGCAAACCAGACACCATGGAAGCTGTGGTGGAGAGGAGGACTCTGAACAAACTGTTATATATTCTGGATAACCCCGACCACCCTCTCCAACCCCTTCTGGACAGGCAGCGGAGCTCCTTCTCAAATAGACTGATTCAGCTCCGCTGTCACAAGGACCGGTACAGGAAATCATTCCTACCTGGAGCAATAACCATATACAACACCTCACCTCTGTCTGGCAGAGAGCATTCTCAGCTTTCTGCTCTGTAAAATGCTTTGTTTTTGCACTGTTTTTTCAATTTGCACATTTTGTACAGTGATTTATTTTATTTTTTTTTTTTTTATTGTTTTTTACTTTTGGCCTTTTTCTTGTTTTGTTTTGTTTTTTTTTTTTTTTTTCTGCTGTATCGCAATAATTTCCCAGGTCTGGGAAAAATGAAGTATTTTCTATTGTCTGTGAAGATTCTCAGTCATCCAGGTCATGGTTATTCTGGTAGACTAATCTTAGCAACTGGTCTAGCTTGAGTTTCCTGAAGACGTTTCATCTCTTATTCAGGAGGCTTCATCAGTTATGACTGACTAGTTGGGAGTTCCAGATACTTTTATCTGGAACTCCCAATTATTTTCACAAGTGTTTTCTATTCTATTCTATTCTATTCTATTCTATTCTATTCTATTCTATTCTATATTTCTTTGTAAGGTTGCACACATACTGGCAAACTATTACTCAGTCTACCTCACACAGACGTAATAATAACCACTTCACTCTGTGCAATACCCAGCTACCACTCTGCTATTGCAATTGGTTTTAAATTGTGGTCTATATTGCTGTACAAAGTGTTGTAATATAGGGCTTGCATGTCAAATAGTGCATATTGCTGGTGCACCTCAGAAGCAGCTCTTTAAATTTCACTGTAGTTCTATAATGACAATAAAGACTCTCTATTCCATTCTATTCAGTTCTGTTCTATTCTAATCTATTCTATTCTAAATTGTAAAAATCTCAATGATGCAATAGTCTTCATATTCTTTACTAGATGGTAGAGTCCCATTTATTCCTCTCAGGTGATGTCAAACCGCATATTCTTGAGTGCTTTGGATGTCACATACCTGATCAAACATCTGTTGTCTACACTGGCATATTTTTCTTTGATTTGTGCCTTCACATATTTCTTCACCGGCATGGCTTACGATCACCAAATGACACACAAAAGAGACTCATGTTTGTATTTGGGCAGTTTGCAGCATCTTACATGTTTGTGCCGAGTTTTGTGACTCTGTCTCCAAAAATCTCAAAGGATCCTTCCCGGAGTGCAGCATTGTAGTTCCCTCCATTATTGAACTGCTGCCTGGTCAGCTCCTCACCAGTACAGCTAAACATCCTAGAATGACCAGATAAAAACACAAGAGCACAGATCAATACTTTTGCTGTACACAGCAGTTTTCTTTTAAATTTCCCCTGCCCGTGATAAAAGCAGTTCTCTTGAGGAGAAGCCCAAGTTCTTGTTTCCTCTATGTTCTAAATGTTTCATTGTGCAAATACAATCCTTAAGAAATGTGATCCAAGCTAAACATACAACTCATCTAAAATTAGAAGTCAAGTGCTTGTTCAACAAAAGCCCTGTAATGCGATTAGTTGCGGATACGTCTACTTAACATCAGATTACAGTGTCTAAGTAAGATAGTAAACAGACTATATGATAGACAAAAGGAAAAACATTAAAGATTATTGGAAGGACCAAAGCTAGCTATCAAAGCCATTTATTTAATCTCAGTGTCAGTTGTCATTCTTCAGAGTAAAGAGTCCTTGGGTCTGAGGAATAAGAGCCGTATGCTGTGGTACCTTATCAAACCAGGGACTTGTGTTCCATGGGGCACAGGACCACTGGTGGGAAGTACAAAGCGGCCGTTTGAGTTCTGTACTTTGTCTTTGAGGAAAATAGACACCTGGCACAGAAAAAGACATAGACAGAAAAAAGGCAAGTGAGCGATATAAGTCACAAAAACAGAAGGTTCTCTATTTAACACTGTCCCAAGGATTAGATGTTACAAATGGTGGACTTACCCTTATATGCATGTCTTGGAAGAAGATAAGAAGAGTTTGTCTAATCAGCTGGAATTCACCACTGGACAAGGTGGTATACATCTAAAAAGTAATAAAAGTAAAAATGTAAAGATTAGTGTGTACTCCAGAGCTGGAGGTGCTGGAAACATGAACATAAAGTTAGGAAAGATAGAGTCAACTCTTAGCTGTATTTTAAAATAATTATGCTGGTTTTGTATATCTAACCTTTCAATGAACAATGTGTGCAGTCACTGCAAAACACTTCACATCTTTCATAACTATAATCGCACTGTAAACATACATAATGATGTACTGATTAATTAAACGAGAACTAGATTTTTTAAATCTAAAATGATAACTATACTGTAAATATGATCCATATAAAACACACATGTATTTTTGCTTTATTGATATTTCACATTAGTCCATTTAATTTTATTGCAAACAATGCAAAAGCTAACTGACTAAGCATGTTAGTCATGGACTCATATGTAATAGTTTAAATCGATGACCACATGCAACGTCATTGGCATTACCATGAGAGGAATCAGCAAAAAGATGAAACATACCCACAAGTATTAGCAGCTGTAAACTGTAGTCATTCAAAACAAATGGCTTCTTCGTAATAGAAATAAGCCACTAAAAGTGTTAGCAGTTTCCATTGTGACCTTGGTATCCTCTATGTAGCTGAATTGAATAGCTTTCTGTCTTTTTGTAATGGTCTGATATTGGGACTTTCATCATTTATTTGGTCATAGGACTGTGACACTTGTAACACTGATAAGATTTTTCTTCTTAGCCTTGTCAACACATTGCAGTCTAAGCCAGTTCATCAAACACAGCTGACTATGTTTAACTAGACACTAATAAAAATGTATCTAGTCCTTTTGTTCTGAACTGCTTTCCTTCTCTTCTTCATTCTGCTTATGTTTAATGCATAGTTACACAAGTAAGGGAAGCTTTTGGATGCTGTCTCTGTTCAAGTAAAAAAAAAAAGAAAAAAAAAGAACTTGTGGTCAACTGCTGGAAAAAACAATAGGTCATGTGACACATTGCTAACTGTTCATGTCCATAGCAAATGTAAAGAAATCTAACATGTACCTCTATCAGCTGTCGGTATGTTTCATCAACCTGGCTGAGAATGCTGGGAGTATCTTTCACAAAGTCTTTGATCGCATCCATGTGGTTGAAGGAGACGAGGAGGATGTCCTTAGGTCGGGGACAGAGAAGCACCTGATATTTGAAAGCCATGGTCATCAAGTCATAAAGCTGTGAAGAGAGACACATGGAAGCATCAGTGCCTTATTCAGCAAAATAAATGCATGTTACATGATAAACAACAGAGGGAGCCACACACATCACATATGAATGGCTCTGTAATGCAGCTACACTGCATTATATAGTCAGGCTTAAAGGCAACAAAAGAATATACACTAGTTTTATATTTGTTATGTAAATGACTGATTTAAATGTAGATTTATCTAATTCACAGCCAGTGTACTTGATTGAAAATACTGCTCTAATGTGTATAATGAAGAGGCTGAGACAAACTAGCATCTCTGTGCAGCGTTGAAGGAATGTGATTCATGAGTGCATATTTGTACTGGAAAAAACAAACATCAAATGTCAAGAAAAAGACAGAGCAGTAAACAAAAACACAATGGGTACTGTACATTTGTGTAAATGATGACCTACCTTGTCCATACTGGCTTGATTGAGCCTCATTATGGATGCATGAGCCAGCCTGTCAAACACCGTCCGCAGGGCCTTCTTGGAGTACAGCTCCTGTGGCTTGAAAAGCTCCTCCAGGAACTTTTTATTGAACATGGTGGTGATGATGTCATTCATAACTAGTCAGGTAAACAGTGCAACAGAAAGAACCACAAAGAGTTAACCGAAGTTAGAAAAATGTACTTTCCACATTGCAGGCTCAGAAGCAGGCAGGGGAGCATCTATACTATATGTTGGCCAAAACAGCTCCATCCAGAGTTTAATCCCAAAGGCCCTAACGAAGCAGTAGCATGGCGAGCCAACAGCATTTTAACCCACTTGATAGCAGGCCAATAGTCAGATTGGAAACAGTTGGGTTTTAAAATTATGTTTTACTATTGTCAATTCTGCGCATCACTATTGCAACTAATCACAATGAGCTGTATCTGTAAGAAGTCAAACATATTAGCTAAATTCACCTTTTTACATTTGTCCAGAAAGCAGTAGCTCTACTTACCCAAAAACCAAGCCAAGGTTCAAGTGACAACAACAAAAAAAATTAAGAGTAAAAATAAGGAAAACAACATTAGCCTAGGCGCTGACACAGAAATAACTGCGCTGACCCCTGATGAGGCTGTCAATGTATACAGAAAACCAGATACTCATTATACTTGTACACTCTTAATCACTTAAATCAATGCAGTTTGCAGCTAGGACATGAGCATTTAAGTGATCCAGCCACTTACATGATGTACCCAGGTGTAGGAGCAACTACAGGACATTATCTGTGTGTATGAGGTCTCTGTTGGTAATGTATTGAATCCTGTTGATGCAGCATATGAGTTACAGCTAGGCCAAAGCAGAGCAAAGACCTACTAATGCATTAGTGCATGATCACATTGAATCTTGTACCAATACCTCTCTTTCTGTCCTCCTCTATCCAGGCAGCTATTGTGGAAACTTTATGAATTAAAAGGAGATAGATAGATGAAATGATGTTCTGGAAACCATACTGCTGATGTACACCAATAGACTTGGATATAGCTGTGTGCTGAATTTAGATATGTCTAAATAATTATATACAATACATAGCATCCAATGTCCTTTTGTGAAAGCTATCTTTTACAGCCCTTTATGGTAGAAGTGATTTCAATGTCCAATCTATAGATAACGGAAATTACACAGTGTAATTTGCTTTGAGCTCCTAATTAGACTTGTTCTACGCATCAGCAATGGCGGTCCATTGAATCACCAGAACTTACCAATACACCAACCAGTACACGAATCAACTCACCAAGCTGAATGTGCAACTATCGTGGTGCAACATACCGTTGTACTGCAGAATAAGTGACATTTGTGTTGTTAGCTGGTTAGCTGCTAGGCTAACTACCTTTCTTAGCTTTGTCAGCCGGTATATTCTGAGCTCGAAGCCGCTGGTCCAGGATGTACAGCATTTCCCCGCCGAGGTTAATAAAGAGCAACGGCAGAGTCCTTGACGACATGACGGTTTTTGAACAGCTATAAACGTGTCCAGAGAATGTAGGTAGCTAGCGACCGCAGCTAGCTTGAATGTTTGCTAAAGGGGGGATCTGTTTGGTAAAGCCTCTTCTGGTTGCCAGGCCACGAAGAGGACAGCCAATCAGAGCGCTGTAGCGTTATGACATAAGAGTAAGGGGCGGGGTCAGAGGAGGTGATAGGACTTTCATTATGACCACAGCATGAAGGAAAGGAAGCTGACTATGCACTTAAAGCACATGCAGATAAAAACTCTCTTTCGTTCAGCTGCTCCATGTTGATATCATAACCTTTGATGAAGTGTTTCATTTATTTTAAAGGGTCACAACCCAGAATGCTGGCCTGCAAGCGGACTTATATTCACCCAAATGGAACTAAATTTGTTTTGTGAGAGGAACATCACTTTACACAGCAACACATGTTGAGTGGTAAAAATTTATTACATTGAAAATTAAAAGAAATAAAAACATTTGAAATGAATTTTTTTTTTAAAGCCATGTAAATAACCATTATAAATTATGCACATGGACAATGAAATTTATTTACAGCAACTGTGGTTAGCACTAGCAATTTGTCATACTGTGCAGATACATGTAAGGCTAAAGAAAAAATGACATTTAACACATTGAACTGCATTCCATTAGCTGCCCCGTCAGCCCGAAGGTTTCAGGAATAAACACATTACTTTGCCAACAGTGGATCATCATCATCAGACGCTCTTGTTACACTGAAACCTCTCCGTTCCTGATGCGGATTTCTCGTGCCATCCTGCACACTTCACAAATTCCACAGAAAAAGAGCATTGTGGCGTCGTTGCAGATTGTTCCCTGTTGTATGAAGATTGCAAGAAACACAAACAACAGCAAAAAAAGTCACATTATGCAAAGTCAAATCTTTTTTTGAGAAAATGTGCTGCAATTCAGGTTTCTCAACGATTGGGAACACCCAACATGTAATGAAATCTCAGTCTTTCATAACACCCAAGGTGAGGTTGAGTCAGGCTTCCTCTATGAGACTGAAAGCATCACGTGAAGGCGTTCAGCTTAGAATATATGATGTGAGTAGCATACCTGAATACCATAGGTCAGTCTCATATGAGTCCTGATGGCTGATAAACCTCCTGGCAGGCAACCCAAACAGCAGTTTTCTCCATACTTATTTGCCGTGTAGCAGCTCAGCGCGAGTGGACAGAAAAAACCAAGGGCACCTGAACAACAGAGGTGTGTTTCACCATGAGACGACAGCATCGCTCTGAAAAGAGTGTCTGAGAGTGTCTTTGGTGTGAAACTATGTGAATTCTACTCACAGATGAAACAGTCGCTAAAGCAGGAGCACAGGCCCGTGCTCCACTCTCCCGTTTGCACATTCGTCCCGTAGCCGCCTGCACCTGGTTGATGGGTGACCACTGGGTTCGACATTTGTAGTCCTGGATTTGCTTGTTTCGATGAAGCTGCGAAGGTACAAACATGTTGAGCTGTTAAAACTGCAGCAGCAAAAGATTAGATTGTTGCACATGGAGAGAGAAACGGTTTCCTAAATCAGTTTTACAATATGACACTGTTTTTATCCACATTTGGTCTTATATATACAAACACTTACATGTGATGCTGTTAATTTACAGAGTAGGAAATGTCATAGTTTGACTTTTTGTGCAGTCATATAGATAAATAAGGATACGGTAATTAAAATATTACAGTATGCTTGATGAGAGAATAAATCTAATACCCAAACATCCGTGTTATGCTACCACTACGCTCAATCGACATTCATTTTAGGCTTCAACAATTGTGTCAAACACCAAATAAGAAACTGGTCTGTGGGCTTTGCAAGCTTGTGATTTACACCCGATGTTAACTGTCGTGCATGCTTCATACATAATACATCCATATCTTCGTGAAATCCTTCTCAACACAATCGGTGTCTAACAATATAGCCTCTAATTCAGCAATAGTGGTCAGAAAATACTTTGTTTGGGCAAGACTTTCAATTATACTGCACCAAATCATAATATAAATCCTCTCATTGCACTTTACATAATAAGGTCAAGTCCAAACAATGTTATAGATGAGTAGTTCCACCTTGATCAAGAACTTGGAGGAGTTAAAAAAAACTCCTTTTAGCAGAATTTAACCTCCGACCAGACGTACAGTGGACGGCGATCTGCTCGACTGGTTGTGGTAGATCGACCTGGCTTTAAAAATACTTTTGGAATTTTCCCTTAAGGACTTTTTTTAATAGTATGTAGTTAATTAGGTCAGTAGTAGTCATAACACAGACTGGTAAATGGTACCATAGTAAAATCTAAATGCTCATAAAGTCATTTATGTAACCCGCTACCTCCAAAGTCAGGTGAAAACGAAAGAGCATGTAAAAAGCTACGCTATTTTCTACCAGTGCACTCATACGCAGCTCAATGTGACTGCAAAAAAAAACATCTAGAGTAAAGAATGTGAATGCTGTGCAAATATGATTTATGAGCAATATCGGTTTAATCCGAATAATTGCACATTTTTAAGTTAATCTTCTGCGGAGGAAAAGAAAAAGGTGTCACTTACCAGAAGACTGTGTGAGTCTGAGCTCCTCTAGATCAAACTGACAAGTTGCACACCACACAGGAAACTATGACGAACATGAGCTGTGAAATGCTGGTTTGCCAACAAACTGCTGTTTCTGAGGATGACAAAGATCTGCGGTGAGCAAATGACAAATTCAGACCATTAACGAGAACTGCTGCTTTACTTGGGGGCTGATAGTGGGGGACAGTGTCAAACGCTTACAGGTCACTAGCACATGTGTCTGGTGTGGACGTCAGTTGAAATGGTTTTCCATCTCACCAGATCAGCACAGTTCAGAGAACTCACACAGTTGTGGAGTTTCATATGACACTCAGAAATGTCTCACGTCCCTTGTCATACAAGTTGAGGTTTTGAGCAACCTGCATGCTGTGTTACCGCTGCAGCTTGTAAAAGAAGGAACGGATTTTCTCAGAATTCAAACCAGGACAAAACTACAAGCAGATACACGTTTTTTTTTTTCTTTTCTTTTCTTTTTTTCTTTTTTGTACAGAATCAGTATGACCCCCAAAGGAACGCTTAGATTGATGTTCATGTCAAACACACACAGGATTGCATTTCTTGTTATTCCAAGAATGAAGTTTGCAGCAGCTTGAAAAGTTAAAGGAATTTCACAAAACTATGTATTCAAAGTACAGTCAGAAAGCGGTGACTTCGATGTCTCTGGAAATGATTGTGTTGCTGCTTCCTCATATTGGATATCAAATTAAACGATGACTATGTCATAGTGAGGTACTTTCACTGGACACAATACACGACACAACGCAAAAGCAACACATTCTGTTACCAATTAAATATCTGACCTAATGTGAAATACACTCACAATCTGCCCTTCTGTTCCTGAAGTTGCTGTTTGTCTTTGTGAATATATAATGTCATCAGGTGCTCATTTTATCCTATCAGACATTTGTGTGACATTATATCATAATAATGTATGCATTCTATAACTAAAAATGGGTTTTGCAAGATCACAACGACCTTGAACCACATGTGATCAGTTCATTTGTGTCCAAGTGAACTTCTGTGCCAAATGTGAAGAAATGCGTCCCTGAGATCCTGAGAATAGTGCAAATGCACAATGAACAACATCCAGCCACAGCTGTTTCCTGTGTGTAGACATTAATTAGAAACCCCACCCTTGCAGCCTGAAACTGACCTGTCAACAAAATTTTGATATCATGAGCTTCTCCGTGATGTTATGTCACATCTATTGATTTGGCTGTAAATTCATCATCATACTGAAGGTGTTCATGTTGTTTTCTAACAAGTGTGTCGTAACCGTTTAATAACCTTTTCTCTGCCCAACACTTGACCTCAAGCCATTTAAAAAGTGCTCCCAAAGATGAACTATGTTGTAACATGCTGAGATCCTCTTAGTGACACAAGAGAAGGCTGGGAAAATTTGAAAGCACAACTTTTGCACAAGGCCTGCATGCTGTCAACACAGCACCGAAACAGGGAAACTGGGATTGCTTCATATGCAACATTGTGCAGTAACTTGCACACGACAAGAGTGTTCCCACTGATAGCTGATGGAAAAACACCTGCTCTGACGTAATGTCCAGAGAAGCACCATAACAGACAAGTTCAATCTGTTTTGACACTGAATTATCCTTTCAACTGCATCACATAGTGGAAAAGTCTGATTACCTGCACCCTAAGCAGCATGTTCACAGTTTGTCCTTATGTAATCATTTGAATTCTCTGCTTTTGTAAATACCTTGCACACACGAGACCAATGGCTGCCTCACGTTTCTGTGCAACTAAACCTTAAAACACATCTAATAATCATATATTTCAGTCCAAATAAAGTTCCAACATTCATTTCAGTATAATTTTCTTGAATATTTTATTGGCATTTTTAGATAATTCTGACATCAACCTAAAAACAAAAGAGCAAGTGTGATGGTAACACATAAAAACAAACAAAAAACCCTCATTTAACCACATGCAACATTACCACAAGTGAGTAAAGATGCCGGTCAAGACAAGACTTTAGAATTAGCTGTTGTAATATACAGTATGTTGTCCTTCACTGGGTCACTTTTGCTTCAGTTGCTTCTGTCTCTGTGGCGGCTAAACTCTGCCTCATCTTCTGCCTCTGCTCTGCTTTCTGCTTCTGCACCGCATTGTAGAGCTGAGAAGGAAGACACACATTGCAAAGTGTCAGTGGGTCGTAAACAACACCTCTGACATCAAAGTAGATGAACCTACAGAGAGCTTAGACACTATATGTGATGCTGTTTCACTCATGTGACTTTGCACGAGTTTTATGCAATTTTTATACATCAAAAATGTAGATATATTAATGGGGGTCATTTGTTTTCTACCTTAATGGAGAATTGTTTCTTGGCCTTCCAGCGCCGACTGACTCGTCTGTAGTACTCTGGGGGGAAGGTGTAGGTGATGCCCAGCTGACTACACACTCTTTCAAAGGCATCATAGTGAACCAGTCGAAGGTTTTTCAAAAGCTTCTTCCTTTGGTCAATGGCCATGAGCATCCGCCTCTTGTTAGCTTTGTCCTGGCAAGAAATAACATCAAATGAAACAACTGAAGTGACTCAAGCAGGTCCAAGTGGGTGGAAAATGAGACCCTTTTGAGTCCCACACTGTGGTCATCTGCTTATGATTAGACTCACAAATACAACAAAGAGTTTAAATGTTACATCATTTCCATACCTGTGCTAATTTTACTAAAAAGATTTAAGGCGTGATGCAACATGGAAACTTCCGACCATGGCTGTGCTACACATGTTTTTGTTTCATGTGGGGGAGTACACAGGATATCCTGTAGCACACACACACGCGCTTCACACCAGAGGAAGGCAGAGAGGTAATTTAGAGAGACGTTTATACACCAAAGTTCTCGTGGTGCAAGTCAACTCCTTTAAATGGGCGATTTTGTTAAACACATCCACAGAACATGTGTTAGCGTTTAGCGTGCAAGGAAGAGAAATCTGCTCCTCTTACCTTATGATGCTTTTGCAAATGCTCCTGAAGGTTTCGAATTCTTGTTGTCAAAACAGCCACTTTAAAAAGAAAGATCAGAAGGGCAATTCAAAATCGTTATATAAAAAAAACAACATATCTTCTACGTTTGTGTTTTGTTGAACACATGATGTGAAACGTTTAAGAGCAGCATCTCACCTCTGACTTCCACCGAGCTGCGGTCATGCTCATCCCTCTGCACTTTTGCTATCAGCTGCTCCTTTTTCAGTCGAAACTTATCAGTCTGAAGACGTGCACAATATTAGTATTACTGGTTATTATTTTAGGCTACTCGTTTCTGATTGTATTTTCTGAAATTGGCGTATCAATGTACATTTCTAGAGAAGCAATCATCAGAAAAATAAAAACAAAGCAGGGTTAAACACGACAAAGCACTGCGTTGGGACGTGACGACTTACATTACTTGCCATCTCCAATGAAAGAAGTCGTTTAACGAGATCGTCGGTCCTGTTCAATGAAAATATTGTGGAATTAGAAGACAGAATGATCAATCTATAAGATACAGCTGAAACCAGAAGTTTATATGAAAAGACATAAAAGCCTTTTCATCTCGCTGTCTGACATTAAATCAGTCTAAACGGTAGGATTGCCAAAATGATTTCTATTTGATAAATGCCAAAATGACGGGAGAGAGAATTTTTTATGACTTTCTTTAAAGTCAGAAGTTTACATACACTAAGATTAACTATGCTTTCAAACTATTTAAGAAAGCTCAGCGATGATGTCATGGCTTTGGAAGCTTTAATAGGTTAATTGACAACATTTGAGCTAATTGGAGGCACACCTGTGGATGTATTTTAAGGCACAGCTCAAACACACTGCTTCCTTCTAAAGAGATCAACCAAGATGCCTGAAGGCTCCACGTTCATCTGTTCAAACAGTTACATGTAAGGATAAACACCATGGGAATGTCCAGCCATCATACCACTCAGGGAGGAGACAGGTTCTACGCCCCAGAGATCAAGAGTTTTGGTGTGAAATGTGCGTATCAACCCCAGAACAAAAGACCTTGTGAAGATGCTGCTGAAGCTGGTCAGAGAGTCATTATCCACAGTGAAACCAGTCCTGTACTGACATGGACTGAAAGGCTGCTCAGAGAGGAAGAAGACGTTACTCCAAAAGCAACATAATAAAAGCCAGATTACAGTTAGTAAATGCACACATGGACAAAGAGCTTCATTTCTGGAGACATGTCCTGTGGTCTGATGAAACTAAAATTGAACTGCTTGTCCATAATGACCATTGTTACATGTGGAGGAAAAAGGGGGAAGCTTGCAAGTCTGAGAACACCATCCCTATTGTGAAGCACGGGGGTGGCAGCATCATGCTGTGGGGGTGTTCTGCTGCAGGGGGGACTGACGCACTTCACAACATAGATGGCATCATGAGGAAAGAACGTTAAGTGGAAATATTGAAGCAACATCTCAAGACATCAGCCAGGAAACTACAGCTTGGGTACAAATGGGTCTTCCACATGGACAATGACCTGAAGCATGCCGCTAGATTAGTTACAAAGAGGCTTCAGGACAACAAAGTCAATGTTTTGGCGTGGCCACCACAAAGCCCTGATCTCAATCTGGTGGAAAAAAATGTGGGCGGAGCTAAAGGAATGCGTGAGCAAGCAGACCAACAAACCTGACTCAGTTCCACCAGTTCTGTCAAGAGGAATGGGCCAGAATTCATCAAACTATTGTGAGAAGCTGGTGGAAGGAAACCGTTTGACCCAAGTCATACAGTTTACAGGCAACGCTACCAAATACTAAGGAAATGTATGTAAACTTCTGACTCTGAAGAAAGTAATAAAAAATCTCTAAAAAGTTCTCTCTCTCATTACTCTGGCATTTAGCAAATAGAAATAATTTTGGTAACTGACCTAAAACAGGAAAAGTTTAGTCTGATTTAATGTCAGACAGTGAGAAAAAAAAAAGGTTATGTCTTGTTTTTTTTTTGTGTGTGTAAACTTCTACTTTCAACTGTATATAAATGCAGATTAATAATACACTGGAAATAGACATGATACTTTTGCTTATTGTAAGGTAAGGTACATGTGTATGTTTACGTTTGAGCAAGAGGTATATCTGCATATTCCTTCTTCAGCATTGTTGGAGCAAGATCGCTGAACAGGCCCTCAGGAGCTGAAAGAAACAAAATGCTTATGTGAGCATTTTAGAAATGTATAAGCAGGGCTTGATGATGCCAGTGCTTCATAAAATACCTTTCTTCTTAATCTTTGGACCCCGAGCATAATGTCTCACTGGTGGTGGAATGGCGAAGCTTCCTGAAACTGAGAAGAAAAAAAAAGCAAAATAAATCATTGTGCATATTCACACACGTGTAGCAGATTAAATGACTAATCCAAAAAGAGAACAAGTAAATGAAAAACAGAATGGTATATGCATGGTAGAAAGGCATCTACCAGTTAAAGCTGATGGTGACATATAACTATAGGGAGGGAAGGGTATGTTTAACCTACATGATGTAAAAGTTATCCCAGAATTAAAGACATCCGTGACACTGTTTTAGCAAAGATGCATGCTGGGAGCCTCACAATTCTTGTGTATGTCCAGATTATGTCAACATTAACAGCTATATAAAAGTAATATATTCTGAACAATGACTCTCAGTGGCTGTATGATGGCCAAAGAAATGCCTTTAAAAAGCCATTTATATGACGGCAAGCTATTTCATCTCACTCCATTTAAAATTAATCCAAAACTCTTTTTCCTGTAACATCACTGCAAGAATGAGTGGAACCATTTAAAAAAATAAATGATGGTCCTACTCTTTATGAGGTACACAGTGTTACACATTTATAGGAGAAGCATTTCTTTTCTGTGAGAAAAACTTGTACAGGATGACGATGAAATTGATTTGCAAGTTTAAGCTGCGTGACTATCAAACGATTTGAAGAAAACAACCAAGATAATCTGCACAACATGGCCGCTTCACACCCCTGATAAAACACAACTACGCACGTATCAGATGGTGAGAGGACAGCGGTTTACAATATCATCAACAGCAAATGATGTAATTTCCTTAAAACACTGATGCCTTATCCTTCTATCAGAAATCCAACCGCATTTAGAATTAATTCTGATGTCTCAGTGCTCTTTGCTAACGAGAATACTTACTGCAACCTAATATTAGTAGCAACAACACTCAAAGGTTTTAGGGCACACTACATTTTTCTTGAGCCATTTCTAACTATTTAAGGTATGTACAGCAGAGCAATACAATTTATTTGATATCCCACAGACGAGCAACTGCCAAATAAATTATGAATGTTGGGTTAATTACACAGCATTTGTTATATTCACGAAGAGAAGTGGCCTGCAAGTCAAAATGTACCTTGACTTGAGGGGAAAATGAAAGCATAGCTTCTGTAAGATGCACTAGATAGTATGACAGTGAAGGAAGGTGTTGCAACAGATTGAGCTGACAAACAAATGCAAGGAGGAGAAGCAACCACACAAACCAAGCTCAACGGTGTTAGCCACACTTCTTCTACAGGCTTCATGTCAAGCTTTATAGAGACATCTGTTAGTGAACGTCAGACTTTAAGTCTGTTTTTAGCGATCAGACAAATAAACTAGTCACACTGTTTTCAATTAGATTATTAACAAGTACCCCAGAAGTGTTAGTAGCGATATAGGAAGAGCAGCAATATTGTCTAAGGCCTCGTTTGTATGATGTTCACTTGTCTCAGTATTTAGTAATCAGGATGATCAGGGATTTGAGGCTAATGCATCAGCCAGTTTTGACAAGATGTCTGTGCATTTATTTTTCAGC